TAAAATAAATGTTTAAAAAAAAAAGAAATGTTAGACCTGTTTCCTTAGAAGCTCATACTGTTAACTACCCTTTGATTATATTTAGCTTATTATCATAAGTCAGAGGGACATCCTGGTGTTTTTTTCAGTTCTAAAACATACTTTTAGGCACATTTGAAAGTAATGATATTATAATGGTCTTCCTGCTGGGGTGGGCGGGTGATGTTCCTGCCTCTCTCTCTCCCCAGGATTGTTGATAGAGGCAACTCATCATTAATGATTTTGTGTAATCAAGGCTGCTAGTATCAGCAGATTATTCTTTAATAATAATCTTATGATCCTTTTTAGGGGTAGTCCTTATCCCATACCACAGCAGCAAATCTTTCCATCTGGCAAAAATAATTCTACTCAGCAATTATATTTTTATATAATGAGTATATGTATTTGGGGCAACTTGTTAGGTAAGTCCCTTTAAAATTTTTGTCTTTTTTATATATTAAAAATGTTTTTTAATTTTCTTTTAACTGACTGGCTCTTTAAAGCAAAAATGGAGGGTCTTGGACTTGACTTGCTTCCACTTAAGAAAAATTCACGATGCTTGAGAACTAATTTCATCAGAAACATTCTGAGCTTCAGTTAAAATGTAAAATGCTTTTTTTAGCCCCAGGATAAAATAAAATTTCATTTGCTTTTACTTTTCTGCAATAATGTAATGCCAATAAGGAGATATTGCCAGGGGCACAGGGAAGCCAATTCTATAGCTGAACAAATCGATGGTAAATCTACTTGCCAAATCCTGAACATACCCACTGAATGAGTGTTAGGAGTGTGCATTCGTGCGCACACACACATTTACACACACATGTACACACAATCATACCTACTGAGCTATCCAAGGTAAAGATGAGATTTCTGATGTCCTACCACAATTAGTGTCACATTCTCAAACCCCCACACACCCACAGCTGGTTTGTGGGCACACTTTTGAACTGAGAACACATAGCATTTTGAATAGTAATAACAAGACTTATTGAGTAATAGCATTATTGAACGATAACTATGTACTTCACCCCAATCTAAGCATGTTAATCCTGGAAGCTGGTGCCATTATTATCTCCATTTTTCAGGTGAGGAAATTGAGGCACACAGAGGGTAAATCAGTTACCCAGAGCCTCCCAATTGGTGGATCACAGTCTGGTGCCAGAGCCCAGCCACTTTGTCTGTACACGGTGCTGCCTATTGTTGTTTATTCAAACCAAACACAGGTCTCCAGAAAATGCTAGACAAACTCTAAACCAAAATCATGATGATGATGATAACTATGTCAACTATTTGTATCATTAATTTATACTCAGGCACTTATGGTCTTTTTTTCACACATTTATCATAATCTGGGGGATTAAGTTTTATTGTTTCTATTTCACAGTGAAATTAAAAGCTCAGAGAACTTTAATCATTTGCTAAACATTGAAAAACTGGTGATTGGCTGACTTGAGATCCAAATAAATCTATAGCCAGTGCTCATTCCTTTGTTTAGATTCTGTGTTTGCACAGAATCTGATTTCTGTACACAGTTTCTGATTCAGTAAGTAAAGAGATTTGGAACATTTGTCTCTGCTCTGTGATAACCATTATGTTTCCTGATCACTAATGGCCAGTGGGACACTTTGCTACCTTCCCACCTTACAGTGTAGTTGAGAATGATATGATTTTAAAATAAATTACATCAACTTCCCTGGGTAAGATCTGTGCTTTGTGACCTTTGAATGTAATATTTCTATCAAATTAATCACTTTTTGGAACAGTGTCTGATTTCTGACTTAATTGCATAATGAATGACAGTCAGAAAAATATACAAATGACTGAATTTTCTCCTCTATATATGCTCATAACTACTTGTTGAAAAAAAATAACAAAAAAAATTCTGACATAGATTGAGACTTCCTACACAGGGAAGTAAAACTGCAAATCCTAGGTGTTAGGATTTCTTTCTGTTGCAAGTGCAATGCCAGGAGCCTGGAGGAAGAGTCTAGCAGGTCTCCTATGTGGGCTGGGCACCTGCTGTGCGACAGGCCCCGGACTATGGTACTGGCTGCCTCACTGTTAGAACCTTGAGGGTTCTCAATAACCTCCAGTTTATTAAGACACGGTCATTGCCCCCGGGTTGTAAGACTAGAAAGAAATGGGTCAGAAACCAGATTCCAGGCAGGTCTGAATTCAGTCAGGGCTCCTAACTTGGTTTCCAAGTAGCCAAGAAAATCTTTGCAGTGGGGAGCAAGGGTTAGGGCATTTCTGATCATTGAATGACCCTTTGAAATTATGATGCCTTCTCAACCAGCCTGCCTCACCAAATTATTAGTGGAGTAAAACATGCTTTTCAAATTTAGGTTTAGATTTTAATGTTATTACTCCAAGGTGAACTCTCAAATGTAAAAAAACAGTTGATGTCAAGAATTCAAATGAAAGAATTTCTATGTATTCGGAGGTGTTTTTTTTAAACCTGTTCTGGGAAAGCACTGTGAAGATTTTTAAGTATTAAAATGGATTGGACGTAAAATCCTAGTTTAAATGGTATTTTGAACAACTTTAATTGTATTACCATGATTCTAGTATATTTTATCTTGTGTGCCAAATAATACAAGCCAAAGGAACACACACACACACACACACACACACACACACACAATTTTTTTCCCCTTTTTGTTGTACTTTGATGACTTCAAAAGGCTCAGAAAACCATCTTTGTATAAACAGATGAAGGGAAGGGTGTGCTCCTCTTTCCAGGAAGATGTTTGTTTTTATAATCCAAACGCTAAAAAATAACATAGTGCTTGCTACATGAATGAGGCCAGTTCATCCACTGGGAATGTATCTTGGTCTCTTCTTGTACTCAAGGAAGGTAGGATGCCATTGGGCATGTGTCTAAAACTTGCAGACAAGACTTCAACAATGGGCATTATTGATTTCTCTGTAAAAGTAATTATCTTTTACATTAGGAAGTTTATGTATCACATGAAATCAACTATCAGAATACAGTGTCTAAAAATTGAGAAGAAAACAGAGAAAGTTCTCACATATTCCTCATCCACTTTCCCCTGTTAACATCTTACATTAGTCTGCCATATTTATTATAATCAATAAACTAATCAAATGCATTAAAATAGTTTCTAATAAAAAATAAGTTAAAATAAAATTAACTCATTCTATATATGCAGAGTATTGATCAAAAACATTTTCTTATGGGTACTTAGGTGCTAGGAGAGAAATTCCTGAGATGGGGGCTGGCAGAGGTCATACAGAACAAAGATTGTAACTCTAGTCCCCAAGAAAGGGGCTGGCCAGCTGATTAGTCATCTGATCATCAGAAGAATAATTCCTAATGATTCCTTTTAAATTATGAAACATTTTCTCTATCAGAAATACTAAAGGGATGAGGTATTGTGGTACATTTTACTTGGACACTGGAACACAAAAATCAGAGGAAAATACAGTATCAGTAGATATTATTTCTATTTTGAACTCTTAACATTTACATCTCAAGGGCCAGCTGCTTGGCAGGAAGGAACTGGAGTATTCTATTTGCGGCACAACTCTAGGAAACAGCTTCCAAGACTGACCCGATCTGCATTTGAGTTATAGATATTATAACCAACTTTTCCTCCACACCAATACCCCATCCCTTCAGAAATCTTAATAGGCTTTTGAGAGCCTCCATTTAGCCCTGGCTGCATAAAATGATTCTTTGATGAAAAGGGATTGGAACAAGGGTTAAAGCCGACATTGAAAGGTTACTGTGGAGGGCATCGTGTTCATACAACCCTCCTTTAATATGTGTGGTGTGCACCTGTGATAAGATGATTCATTACCTGGGGCTGCTCTTTGACAAGCTCCATCGTTCAGCCCTCGGGGTTCTGATGGGACAATCCCACACCCGCCCAGGAAATATAACAAGGTCAGCTTTTTTTTCCGCTGGGACGTAGATGGAAACGGTTTAGCTTATAATGCATCTTTGTTTACTGTTTATGTAAAATAAAAACAAGGTTCAGGACATCGCAATTCCAGTTCTCCACAGAGCAGGCCAAGCAGGAAGAGGTAACACTGGTGGATAAATAGCTCTGAGAAGAAAACACCTGCGAGGATGTAAGCCTCATCAGCAGAAACAGCGAAATTTGAGAACAAGGTGTCCTAACCACCGAGGCTGCACCCCGTGTCAGACCTTCAAATGGGAGATGTCCAGACGGCCAAATAAGATGACCTCTTGTTTGCTTTGCATGAAGCTTTTAGGTTTATTGGGAGGTCTTGATGAAGAAATACCCTTAGCTGGAGCTTTGTCAGTGTCTTGGTGACCAGGAGTGGGCACATAAGCAGTGCAAGGTAGGGGTGACATGGCACGAGGGAAGGTCACTGGCTCCTGTGGACTGAAGTGATTCCACAAGCGAATAAGAGACTGCCAGATGCCTGACAAGCAGCAAGTGTGTCCGACTTGCAGTTGCCGTCGTTCTAACTCACCCTTTTCTCTATTGCTCTTACAGGATTTCTTCAGTAGTTTCCTATCACATTCCCATACATTTAGAAATTGACTCTATTAAAGCTGATTTAGAAATCTTAGGGCAATAAAAAAGGAAATCTACTAGTTTCCCTCATTATCCAAGCTTAAAAAACACAAAAACAGAAAGAAGCGCAATTTTATTTTGAAAATATAACTTATTGTAATTATTATTTTTTAAAGAATGCCACGGTCATGAAAAGGAATTTCTTCAAGTAAGGTTATAACATGAGTCAAAATACAGAAATAAAAAAAAAATAAAACTTAAGACATCCTTTGGGAGGAAAAAAAGATATCTTGCTTCTAAAATATAAACACCTCCCAACCCTTCTCCTATTCTTGACATTGCTAGTAAATGTTATTTATTTGCCTCGAATGGATGTGGTTACATATCACTGTCATGCAAAAGAAATTCATTTCCTTTCTGAGTTCAATCTGCCATAAAAATTCACTCTTGTTCCCATCTCCCACTCACCTGTCCTTGTGCATTAGTAACTAGTTGACCCGTGACCCCCTGAAGACTGGAGAGGGCATTGCCAAAGGCCTGTGAGCTTGCTATGGAGCCCATGGCTGCTGCTGCTGCAGCCGCTGCAGCCTGACTTGCTAGTGGATTATTAACCAGCTGCAAAGAGAGAAAAGATCAGGGTGAAACCACCGAGAGAGGCACAGGCACAGCACACCGATACAACATTCACTGGGGATGAATTCTTGTCCCATTTAATTCATGCAAAGGTCGGTCCTGGAATCCACTGGAGGAACCCTGGGGAACATTCCCTCTAATGCTGTGGGGTTTGGGAGAGGTTGGAAGTGAGGCTGGAAGGAAAATGTTCTCCACAAACACTGCGCTACTTGATGGAGCCTGGATTTAGGACTAGCCCCGGGAGGGAGGGAGTCTGATTTTATAGGTGAGGTGGAACATTAGGATCTTCCCAGGTGGAGAAATGATTTTGAAGTCCCTGAATTTTTGTCCTTTAGACTAAATAAAACTCTAAGAAAATGTCACTTTCTTTGGGATAACAGGACAGAATGTAGGATTAAAACAGGATGGGGTAGAAGTGGGGGAGAGGAATGGATTGTAAGAATTTTTCAATGAGTATGATTTTATCATTTTCATTTGTGAATCGCAATTTCTTTTAGGTTCTCCAAGAAAAAAGGAAATCAAAGGCACTAGAGATGGAAACCTCCAGCCTTTGTGGTTTCAGGGGGTGAGTCTAGGGTTGGGGTTTTTCTAGTGGACATAGGATTTATGCCCAGTGAGAAAGGTCCTTTGGTGAGTGGTCATCTGCTTGCTAATGTGGTGAGTACATGGCCTTCCCTTGGCCTATGTCAGTGAAGTGAAGTGAAATAGGGAGGAGAATGTGATTGCAGGGAGGAGGAAAACTGCTCAAAGAGGAGGTTATGGCTGCCAAAATCTGTTTTTCCATGGAGACCAATTCAATATTCTTTATCCTGCCAATTTTCCACGCCACAGGTTTTCAGACCCTCTGACCATGAGGCAGAAGTGTGGCTTGAACTAAAATCTGCATTTAGGTTAATGACTAGATATAAATTCAAGAAACATTTAAACTATTTTCACAGTATTGGTTTTGATACATGAATTTCATTTGTATTTATTCTAGGGTGTTATTTTTCCCCATATAGTTTCTCTCAAGTACAACAATTGTTTTGTATAATAATGCATTTTCCATCACCAGATCCCACATCCATGAAATTCCTGCATTTTAGCAGAAACCTGCCAAGACTGAGACTTGGTGGAAAAAAATTAACGCCATACTTAATTCAAATTCTAGAAGTTCTTTTAAAGATGCTACTTTTTTTCTCAGTCTTTCTTTTTTCTTTCTCTTCTTCCCTTTTTTTTTTCTTTCCCTCAAAACACACACTTTATTATAGAATTTCTTTGGAAATTGCTTTGCCAGGAGTTCATAAGATCTAACGAGGAAGGAAATCCTCAAAAGAACTTCAGAAAGAACAGGAATGAACTAATTCTTTTTTCATTAATGCAATATTCTTATTTTGATTTCTTTATTCATGTCTAACCAAATTTCATGTAACTAGTTCTATAGTTCATGTAACTATTCCATTTGACCCAGCACATTTTTTTAAGAAATGAAAATCCATTTTAAGCTCATTACTTTATGTGTCTTTTGCCTTTATCTCTCTCCTAAAAGACAACAATGATTTCCTTTTTAAGGAGAAAAAAATTTCTCATTCAATGACCTAAAGAAAAGCCCTGTCTTATCCCAGATTACCACCATGGGATTTTAAAAACTCAACTTGACCTTGATCATGGTTTTCTGAGTATATATTTATAGTATAAGTGAGGTAGTAACAATATATGTTTAGCTTGCTACCTAAAGTGAACAAATTCATATTGTCTTTTTTTCTACTTCTAAGGAGAAGACCTGAGGAGTGTCTTCCCCAAACCACTGGACACAGCCACACAGCCATGTGAGACAACTCAAGTTATCTGCCAGCTGTTATATTTACATTTGTTTGTGCAACACAAATTGAATTCACAACGGAATGTCTGGGTTTCAGAGAAACCTCAAACTTCTTTATACTCAAAGAAAAACTAAATTATGTGCAGTTTGGTTTTAAAATTGAATATGCAATTTTGTCCATGAATTTTGGGTGAAAAATTTAAATCAGTACATGAAAAAAAATGCTTTCTAAAGAAGATCATGACTTCTACTTCATGAAGAGAAAATATTTTTAGAGGTTATAAGACATTTCCCTAACACTTAGGTCAACCAAAAATTCATATTGGAAATTATGGAATGTAATAGAGTAGATTGAGAAGTCCCTACATTTAGGGCTTCAGTATATTGTTTCGGATAGCCCCTGTATTTGTTATAAATTCTGGCATATACAAGGATAAACTATCATTCTGAATGCAAACAAACCATCTACTTTTTTGTGTGATGGAGCCAGGAATGGGTATACTTCTACTGCTCTGACAAATGCTCCAAAAACCACAAATATACAGATTTTATTTTTAATATTTATTTCTACTGTATCCTGGTCCTAGATTGAAATCCAATTTGTTCCTCCTCTTAATGGAGCAAATGCCAACTCAATGACTCTTATTTGTGATCCATGCCCTTAGGTCCCTGTGAAAGGCTTATGGGCTGTAGGGAAATGCCTTGTTGGCCCCTGGAACCAGAACTAGAACTAAAGGGAAGGAGTGTGGTGTACACAGACAGCGGGTGCAGGTCAGTCTGTAAGCTGACAGCATTTCAGGTAGATCATTGGTGTAGTTGATGGATGCAGCTTCATAAATATCTTTTGGCTTTTCTGTCTGTGACTGCCAAGGCAGGGATGTAATACACATTAAGATATGTGCAGAGAGAGAGAGAGGGGAGGGCCTGGAAGCCACAAGTGTTCTCCTCATCACCTCCGGTCATGTCACTCTGTATTGTCCCCAGTCATGTCATATTAGCAGTGTTCCGATCAATATATCTTCTTGATGGAGATGCAGGGTAGATTTGGACAGCGGGAAGTCCGGGCACAATAAATGCACATAATGAGCATGTGAACATTAACATTCTAGGACCAACAGGATATTTTGAAGCTGCTGCCAAGTTAGGTGTTTCAGCCTTCAGATTTTTTTTCAGTGTACCTAACCAGCAAAAGATGGCTAACTGAAGTCTGACTGTATTATATACTTATGTTTTCAACAGATCAGCTTAAAAGACATACTGAATTTTAGTGCATGCTTGTTTATAAATACGGGAGGTTGCACAATAAGGAATTGCAGAAGGCTAGAATTCTCATGTCACATCCATTTAGATTCTGGGCCTTGAACATATCAAGCTATAGTTCTGGAATCCTCAGATAGTCTAAAAATGTACTAATAGAAACATTACTTTCTTAACACAGTCCCTTATCCCCTTCCATAATTTTAGAGTTTAAAATAAAATAATTAAAAAAAAAACCAACAGTTTTGTATCAGTAAGGAAAGACTCCAAACCTTGCAGAGCCTGTCCATCTGTCCATTTACACAATGGAAGACATCAACACAAACCAGACTGCCTTGGTTTGTGACTTTATATTATGCCTCATTTTCTTGGGGGTAAAATGGGTGTAAAAATAATAACATTCAGAGTTATGATTAACACTTGAGATAACACATGCAAAAGGTTTAGTACAACACTTAGCATATATCGTGTACTAAATGCTAACTATGGGACTCCCTGATAGATTAAGTCTCAGTCCTATGAAGCTAACAGCAGCCACTATAGCATGGGTCTGATCCCCAGCCAAGTTGCTGACCCACATGATGCAGCAGACCTCTCCTGTCTTGTACACTGCTCCCCTCAGCAGTGTATTTCTGTCAATCCGCCTGTTCTGTTCTCTTGTGCATCCTCTTACCCTTCACACCTCTGGCCTATAGCCCAGTTCTTGTATGCATAAATAAATAAATCTTTAAAAAAAAAAGCTAACTATTATACTCACAGTTCATATTGTTCATGAAGACTTGAATAATCAATTTACTAGAATTAGAATTCACATCCATAAATGATTTCTCACTCTTGTACATAATGAGAACATGAATAACTTATTTTTATATTTTTAACTGTATTTATTATTTTTAAAGAGTAGTGTGAAGGGAGCTATTAGATAGCTAACATGATTATTAGATGAGATAAGTTTCAGGATTTAAATGATAAATATGCTTTAAAAAATATTTCAGGGCCTCCCCTGATGGTGCAGTGGTTGAGCACTGGGCTGCAAAGCTGCCCACAGCCTCGGCAGTGCAGGTTCGATCCCCGGTCACTGATGAGGGTCCCACATGGTGCGACAGACCTCTCCTGCTGGGCCCACTGCTCCCCTCAGCAGTGTATTTCAGTCAGTCTGCCTGTTCTGTTCCCCACTCTGGCTCTGGTGAATTCTCTCACCCTCCTGCACTTCTGACTGTACCCAGTGCTTGTATAAATAAATAAATAAATCTTTAAAAAAAAGATTATGCGGTAGATTTGCAAAATAAAACCTTCCTTCTTATTCTCATATTTTGTTTATGCTATGTGTTCGGTTTCATAAGGACACCCAATTTAGAGTTTAATTCCTGCTTCATTTCAAAATATTATGAAGGTATTCAGGGAGAAGATTTGAGAAAAGTTTCTCTTACAGATACAGGCAATCCTATGTTCACTGCAACACTATTTACAATAACCAAACTATGAAAACAATCTAAGTACCCAAAGATAAATGAGTAGATTAAGAAGGCATATGTGTGTATGTGTGTGTGTGTGTGTGTGTGTGTGTGTGTGTATAATGCATATACATGCACACACTGGACTACTACTCAGTCATTTTAAAAAAAAAAGATAAAACTCTTGCCTTTGTGACAACATGGATGGAACTGGAGAGAGTTATGCTAAGTGAGATAAGTCAGAGGAGAAAGACAATTACTTGAAAGTGTCATTAATACATGGAATATAGAGAAACAAAACAAAGGTCAGAAATAAGCAAACCAATAGCAACCCCTAGAAATCTGAATGTAAAATTAAGGCTATCAGAAGAGGGGCAGGGGTGGGACAAAGGGGGGAGGAGGCACAATGGGCTATGGTGGAGACTGTGGGTGCCTTGGCAGTGAGTGGTGAATGTGGTATGGTAACACAC